CTCTATAACATGACCCAGCTGTAATTTCAGTGGTCGCTTTGGTTTCATTTTTGGTTTGCTTGTAGGGCGCTGGCACCCGCATTCATTGACCCAGAAAATGTGGCACTGCTGTGAATAGTTTAGTCGCATGGTGAAGATTCACGGGTAAAAAGCCCCAAACTTCTAGAAAGGTTCTTTTTCAGCTTTCAGCAGCCCTGGGCTAGTTATTTAGAGAAATGTGGGTCTTTTTCTTGATGCTTTTGTCTATGTCCAGCTATACAACGAGATGAGGATGGTCATTGTCATTTTCTGAGCTGCAAACGGGCAGAAAGGTGAGAAAATGTCGGATTTTGACCATTTGTGCTGACCTTTCAATTTCAACATACCTCTCTATAACATGACCCAGCTGTATTTTCAGTAGTCGCATTGGTTTCATTTTTGGTTTGCTTGTAGGGCGCTGGCACCCGCATTTAGTGACCCAAAAAATTTGGCACTGCTGTGAATAGTTTAGTCGCAAAGTGAAGATTCACGGGTAAAAAGCCCGAAACTTCTAGATAGGTTCCTTTTCAGCTTTCAGCAGCCCTGGGTGAGTTCTTTAGAGAAATTTGGCTCTTTTTCATGGTGCTATTTTCTATGTCCAGCTAACCAACGAGATGAGGATGGTCATTGTCATTTTCTAAGCTGCGAACGTGCAGAAAGGTGAGAAAATGTCGGATTTTGACCATTTGTGCTGACCTTCCAATTTCAACGTACCTCTCTATAACATGACCCAGCTGTAATGTCAGCGGTCGCATTGGTTTCATATTTGGTTTGCTTGTAGGGCGCTGGCACCCACAATCAGTGACCCCAAAAATGTGGCACTGCTGTGAATAGTTTAGTCGCAAAGTGAAGATTCACGGGTAAGAAGCCCCAAACTTCTAGATAGGTTCTTTTTCAGCTTTCAGCAGCCCTGGGCGAGTTCTTTAGAGAAATGTGGTGCTTTTTCATGGTGCTATTTTCTATGTCCAGCTACACAACAAGATGAGGATGGTCATTGTCATTTTCTGAGCTGCGAACGGGCAGAAAGGTGAGAAAATGTCGGATTTTGACCATTTGTGCTGACCTTTCAATTTCAACATACCTCTCTATAACATGACCCAGCTGTAATTTCAGTGGTCGCATTGGTTTCATTTTTGGTTTGCTTGTAGGGCGCTGGCACCCGCATTCAGTGACCTAGAAAATTTGGCACTGCTGTGAATAGTTTAGTCGCAAAGTGAAGATTCACGGGGAAAAAGCCCCAAACTTCTAGAATGGTTCTTTTTCAGCTTTCAGCAGCCCTGGGCGAGTTCTTTAGAGAAATGTGGCTCTTTTTCATGGTGCTATTTTCTATGTCCAGCTACACAACGAGATGAGGATGGTCATTGTCATTTTCTGAGCTGCGAACGGGCAGAAAGGTGAGAAAATGTCGGATTTTGACCATTTGTGCTGACCTTTCAATTTCAACGTACCTCTCTATAACATGACCCAGCTGTAATTTCAGTGGTCGCTTTGGTTTCATTTTTGGTTTGCTTGTAGGGCGCTGGCACCCGCATTCATTGACCCAGAAAATGTGGCACTGCTGTGAATAGTTTAGTCGCAAGGTGAAGATTCACGGGTAAAAAGCCCCAAACTTCTAGAAAGGTTCTTTTTCAGCTTTCAGCAGCCCTGGGCTAGTTATTTAGAGAAATGTGGGTCTTTTTCTTGATGCTTTTGTCTATGTCCAGCTATACAACGAGATGAGGATGGTCATTGTCATTTTCTGAGCTGCGAACGGGCAGAAAGGTGAGAAAATGTCGGATTTTCACCATTTGTGCTGACCTTTCAATTTCAACGTACCTCTCTATAACATGACCCAGCTGTATTTTCAGTGTTCGCATTGGTTTCATTTTTGGTTTGCTTGTAGGGCGCTGGCACCCGCATTTAGTGACCCAGAAAATTTGGCACTGCTGTGAATAGTTTAGTCGCAAAGTGAAGATTCACGGGTAAAAAGCCCGAAACTTCTAGATAGGTTCTTTTTCAGCTTTCAGCAGCCCTGGGTGAGTTCTTTAGAGAAATTTGGCTCTTTTTCATGGTGCTATTTTCTATGTCCAGCTAACCAACGAGATGAGGATGGTCATTGTCATTTTCTAAGCTGCGAACGGGCAGAAAGGTGAGAAAATGTCGGATTTTGACCATTTGTGCTGACCTTCCAATTTCAACGTACCTCTCTATAACATGACCCAGCTGTAATGTCAGCGGTCACATTGGTTTCATATTTGGTTTGCTTATAGGGCGCTGGCACCTACAATCAGTGACCCTAAAAATGTGGCACTGCTGTGAATAGTTTAGTCGCAAGGTGAAGATTCACGGGTAAAAAGCCCCAAACTTCTAGATAGGTTCTTTTTCAGCTTTCAGCAGCCCTGGGCGAGTTCTTTACGGAAATGAGGGTCTTTTTCTTGGTGCTCTTGTCTATGTCCAGCTACACAACGAGATGAGGATGGTCATTGTCATTTTCTGAGCTGCGAACGGGCAGAACGGTGAGAAAATGTCGGATTTTGACCATTTGTGCTGACCTTTCAATTTCAACGTACCTCTCTATAACATGACCCAGCTGTAATTTCAGTGGTCGCATTGGTTTCATTTTTGGTTTGCTTGCAGAGCGCTGGTACCCGCATTCAGTGACCCAGAAAATTTGGCACTGCTGTGAATAGTTTAGTCGAAAAGTGAAGATTCACGGGTAAAAAGCCCCAAACTTCTAGATAGGTTCTTTTTCAGCTTTCAGCAGCCCTGGGTGAGTTCTTTAGAGAAATGTGGCTCTTTTTCATGGTGCTATTTTCTATGTCCAACTACACAACGAGATGAGGATGGTCATTGTCATTTTCTGAGCTGCGAACGGGCAGAAAGGTGAGAAAATGTCGGATTTTGACCATTTGTGCTGACCTTTCAATTTCAACGTACCTCTCTATAATATGACCTAGCTGTAATGTCAGTGGTCTTATTGGTTTGATTTTTGGTTTGCTTTTAGGGCGCTGGCACCCGCATTCAGTGACCCAGAAAAGTTGGCACTGCTGTGAATAGTTTAGTCGCAGAGTGAAGATTCACGGGTAAAAAGGCCCAAAATTCTAGATAGGTTCTTTTTCAGCTTTCAGCAGCCCTGGGCGAGTTCTTTAGAGAAATGTAGCTCTTTTTCATGGTGCTCTTGTCTATGTCTAGCTAACCAACGAGATGAGGATGGTCATTGTCATTTTCTGAGCTGCGAACGGGCAGAAAGGTGAGAAAATGTCGGATTTTGACCATTTGTGCTGAATTTGGCACTGCTGTGAATAGTTTAGTCGAAAAGTGAAGATTCACGGGTAAAAAGCCCCAAACTTCTAGAAAGGTTCTTTTTCAGCTTTCAGCAGCCCTGGGTGAGTTCTTTAGAGAAATATGGCTCTTTTTCATGGTGCTATTTTCTATGTCCAGCTACACAACGAGATGAGGATGGTCATTGTCATTTTGTAAGCTGCGAACGGGCAGAAAGGTGAGAAAATGTCTGATTTTGACCATTTGTGCTGACCTTTCAATTTCAACGTACCTCTCTATAACATGACCCAGCTGTAATTTCAGTGGTCACATTGGTTTCATTTTTGGTTTGCTTGTAGGACGCTAGCACCCGCATTCAGTGACCCAGAAAATATGGCACTGCTGTGAATAGTTTAGTCGAAAAGTGAAGATTCACGGGTAAATAGCCCCAAACTTCTAGATAGGTTCTTTTTCAGCTTTCAGCAGCCCTGGGTGAGTTCTTCAGAGAAATGTGGCTCTTTTTCATGGTGCTATTTTCTATGTCCAGCTACACAACGAGATGAGGATGGTCATTTTCATTTTCTGAGCTGCGAACGGGCACATTACCAGCAATTATATGACATCCCACAGAGTCCGAAATTCCGTAAAATATTTGCGCATTTACTGCAGAGAGTGATCTTGGAAGGAAGAAAATTGCTCTGAACTATGGCCATGATCGAAATGTAAGGCATCAAACCAGTGAACCACGCCAACAAGACAAACAGTTACACAACGAAAAAAACGAAAGTGAAAAACATTGAACAACCGATGCGATCTCAACTCCTAAGAATCATGATTTTCTTCTCCACTGAAAAGTATCTGTTACCTTGGTGATCTTGAGGAAATAGCAAGAATTGACCTTCTTCATGGTCATTTCTGAAGCTTCCTCCAAATATTGTCAGCCAACAAACCACAGCATTGTCACCTGGCTAGTCTGATCTCTGTCCTCAAGAAGGACCAGTTCCAAAAGATTGCAGGTCCAGTGCGCTTTCTAGCTTCAAAGATCTGGGAAATCGCCTCATTCTGCACATTTCAAGCAGCTTCTCAATTGTTTCTGGCTTGACATTGAACAGCAAGAAGATGAAAAGCACTTCTTTCTCAGTTTTTTTCGAGTAAACTACCTCTCCAACCGCGTGGCTTTCTCTGAAGGCCATGTTGTAGGGGCTTTCCCATGGCCATGTGCTGGATGCATGCCATGTCGATGTACTGACATGATGCATGCTAATGCTGTCATGTACAAGGACGTAGACTACTCAGTGACTACAGTCAGTAGATCTACTCTGTACGACTAGTACGAGTCGTAGTCTAGAGTAGAGTGACTGAGTCAGGGAGTCGAATTTTATGACTGCCTGTTGACAAATAGCAACTTGTTTGGTGTAAATTTCGTTTAGAGTGGCTGACAGCTTTGCCAGCTTGATACTTGGTTTCATTCTGCAGCTCACTGGTTTGAGAATACAGTGTTTTCTTGCGGCTTCTTCAACGGATATTGTGCACCATCATCAAGGTGGTTACCTATTTGTGATGCAGCTTCAACTAAAAGTACAACAACAAAAGCAACAGCCTACATTCAACAGCCACAGCCCATGACAACCAGAACAACAACAACAACGACTACAACAACAACAACAACAACAACACCAATTCTCGTTCCTCATATACTGGCACACACAGAGACATAGACAGCAATAGCGGCAACACACAAATTAAAGGGTAGTTGGCCGCAGCCAGATGTGACACTTGCGCAGCTAGTGGGGAAGCACTAGCCATCGGTATTCGGTATGAAAAGATAGAATCTTGCGGCCTACGTATATTGAATGCCTTGAAAAACGCGTCAACATGTTGAAGGTATGACCAGCATCAGCCAACGACTGATGGTCAAAGCAAATACCAAAATACACTGCTATAAAAAAACACACGATCCTTGAAGGGTGTTGGCGTTCCTACGGATGCGGAAAACTCGGCCTTTAGCCGAGTTTGACGCGAACAGTGAAATATACAAGTAATAATAAACAGAACTACAAGGACACATTATGTCACCATAATGTCGGCTGTGCAACCAGTCACTCATCTGACATAAGAATTTTTGAAGCAGCTAGTTGTCTGGAAACTGGGCATGCTTCCAGTTTGTGTCGGTACTTTCAAACTCTGGTTGCTGCAGGTGAAAAGAGATTCTCGCAAACCTATTAAAATGCACGGTTGCAGGCAGCGGTGTACAAGAATAAAAAGAAACGGAAAGAAATAACAAGGGTGCTTCAACGTTGACTGGGTTCGATCACTGAACACTAGACAAGAATGTTTGCAAAACAAAGGTAGAAGAACTGGTCAGCCTCAAATGCTACCTCAAGGACACACAGCGTATCCAAAAAGTAAAGAAAAAATGGAAAATGGTGAGCTGGAGGCGACTGTCGCCGACATCACTGAGCAGTGCAAATGGTATGGGCAGACAAAAACCAATAGGAGAAGACCTACACAGTACTGAAGGAGATGTCAAGCATGAATGCCAAACCTACAAGTGAACCTGAAGGAGAGGAGGATGTGGGTGATGCCATCTTGGCTACCCTGGCCAAAGATTTCTCTGAGCTACGGCAGCACATACCTGGACAGGAAAACCAGCAGAAGCATAACGGAGAGCCTCATCATATCGTTGGGAAACGGCAACAGCAGCGCAACATGAAGAAATAGAAAATGTGTGCTGAAGCTGCATTCTGGTTTACAAGAATGTTTGGGTCTCACTGCTAAATTACCTCGTACGCATAGCCTGTGTAATTGCTTTAGTCTTTTCTCTGCTCTTTCCGGTTGCACAGATGTTTAGCTTGTACAAGTGCTTTCACTTACTCCCACCCACTCTCACCTCTCTTTCCGGGTATATACGGATATCATTGCTTTTTCTTCTATCTTTCACACTAGTAATGTACTGCGTCCGGACTTCGCTAAAGCTTAGATAAATATTGATACCTAAATCTATAACTTGCACTGCTTCCAGGAATACAATGCTGGTGATGCTATGCTTTACCTCCATTAGCCGTCTGTGCCATTGTGCAGATTTGTATTCAGACAAATTAGTTTCATGCTACAATGCTTTCGTTGTGCTCTGCGGTAAGCTCATGATTACCGGGTAATCAATGCCCTTTTCTGTGGAAGAGACAAACTGCCGGGCAGCACGATCCCCTCCTGTCAAGGTAATCAGGTAGTGAGCCCGTGGGCCTTGTCCATGTACGTTCATGCAAGCATCCCAACCTGGAGGAAAGAACTTCACAGGGAAATTCTTCGGTCCCAACCCCCTTTGTCCAGTTTCTGATTCGAAAGTCAGGAATAGACTATTTCGTTTCAAGGAGGAAAACTTCCTTCTGCCAGCGGAGAGGGCTCGACACAATAATGTGGAGCACTATTACACGTAAAACTCCATTGTGCCTTTTGTGACTATTTCACTTCTATTTTTCACTGCACAGCAGTGCAAGCTCCATCAGCAGCCTCAAACATTCGTCATCTGAGAAAGGGCCCAACATTCCCCGAACCATCAAAATATCTACAGCAAACAAAAGGGAGATTTTCAAATTCATGCATTGAAGAATACATTCAATAAATTCACCCAAAATGAAATGAAATCACCTGATAGATCGTCACTGATATCTGATATCTTCATACTCCCAAGCTCATAGATGATAAAGTCTCTCCATTTCACAAGGTACTGCACGCTGCCACCCTAAAGCAACAAAATTCACAATGCAACGAACAGCTCAATTGTGTCGACCTCGCGACCTGATTTATTACAATAAAATAAACGTACCTTCTTTCCCACTGTCGATCCGGTAAGAAGCAGCAAAAACTTCAGGCCCCTAAGACTGCTTGAATTTTCTCCACAGCGGACTGCTGCTGAAAACATCAGCTTGGCGTAAAAACCAGGCTCATTCTGTCTATGAGATACCTAGCGTAAATGAGAGCCTTCTCGTCGCCAGCCACAACAATAACAACAACAAAAATCACCTCCACCGAAAAAGACATGCAGATCGATCAGAGAGCTTGTTGTGTACAGCGTGAGTTCAAAAAAATCCTTTTTCATTGAGATCACAAAAAAAACTTCACACTCGATCGCGCGAGCTCAGCACCAGCAGTGACGTTTGGGTGGAAATATTTTATTTGAAAAACTTTTGTCAGGCGCGATGTCGCTGATTGCTGGTGATGAGAAAGGTGAGAAAATGTCGGATTTTGACCATTTGTGCTGACCTTTCAATTTCAACGTACCTCTCTATAACATGACCCAGCTGTAATTTCAGTGGTCGCATTGGTTTCATTTTTGGTTTGCTTGTAGGGCGCTAGCACCCGCATTCAGTGACATAGAAAATTTGGCACTGCTGTGAATAGTTTAGTCGAAAAGTGAAGATTCACGGGTAAAAAGCCCCAAACTTCTAGAAAGGTTCTTTTTCAGCTTTCAGCAGCCCTGGGTGAGTTCTTTAGAGAAATGTGGCTCTTTTTCATGGTGCTATTTTCTATGTCCAGCTACACAACGAGATGAGGATGGTCATTGTCATTTTCTGAGCTGCGAACGGGCAGAAAGGTGAGAAAATGTCTGATTTTGACCATTTGTGCTGACCTTTCAATTTCAACGTACCTCTCTATAACATGACCCAGCTGTAATTTCAGTGGTCGCATTGGTTTCATTTTTGGTTTGCTTGTAGGACGCTAGCACCCGCATTCAGTGACCCAGAAAATTTGGCACTGCTGTGAATAGTTTAGTCGCAAAGTGAAGATTCACGGGTAATAAGGCCCAAACTTCTAGATAGGTTCTTTTTCAGCTTTCAGCAGCCCTGGGTGAGTTCTTTAGAGAAATGTGGCTCTTTTTCATGGTGCTATTTTCTATGTCCCGCTATACAACGAGATGAGAATGGTCATTGTCATTTTCTGAGCTGCGAACGGGCAGAAAGGTGAAAAAATGTCGGATTTTGACCATTTGTGCTGACCTTTCAATTTTAACGTATCTCTCTATAACATGACCCAGCTGTAATGTCAGTGGTCGCATTGGTTTGATTTTTGGTTTGCTTGTAGGGCGCTGGCACCCGCATTCAGTGACCCAGAAAATTTGGCACTGCTGTGAATAGTTTAGTCGCAAAGTGAAGATTCACGGGTAAAAAGCCTCAAACTTCTAGATAGGTTCTTTTTCAGCTTTCAGCAGCCCTGGGTGAGTTCTTTAGAGAAATGTGGCTCTTTTTCATGGTGCTATTTTCTATGTCCAACTACACAACAAGATGAGGATGGTCATTGTCATTTTCTGAGCTGCGAACGGGCAGAAAGGTGAGAAAATGTCGGATTTTGACCATTTGTGCTGACCTTTCAATTTCAACGTACCTCTCTATAACATGACCCAGCTGTAATTTCAGTGGTCGCATTGGTTTCATTTTTGGTTTGCTTGTAGGGCGCTGGCACCCGCATTCAGTGACCCAGAAAATTTGGCACTGCTGTGAATAGTTTAGTTGAAAAGTGAAGATTCACGGGTAAAAAGCCCCAAACTTCTAGATAGGTTCTTTTTCAGCTTTCAGCAGCCCTGGGCGAGTTCTTTAGAGAAATGTGACTTTTTTTCATGGTGCTCTTGTCTATGTCCAGCTACACAACGAGATGAGGATGGTCATTGTCATTTTCTGAGCTGCGAACGGGCACAAAGGGGAGAAAATGTCGGATTTTGACCATTTGTGCTGACCTTTCATTTTCAACGTACCTCTCTATAACATGACCCAGCTGTAATTTCAGTGGTCGCATTGGTTTCATTTTTGGTTTGCTTGTAGGGCGCTGGCACCCGCATTCCGTAACCCAGAAAATTTGGCACTGCTGTGAATAGTTTAGTCGCAAAGTGAAGATTCACGGGTAAAAAGCCCCAAACTTCTAGATAGGTTCTTTTTCAGCTTTCAGCAGCCCTGGGCGAGTTCTTTAGAGAAATGTGGCTCTTTTTCATGGTGCTATTTTCTGTGTCCAGCTACACAACGAGATGAGGATGGTCATTGTCATTTTCTAAGCTGCGAACGGGCAGAAAGGTGAGAAAATGTCGGATTTTGACCATTTGTGCTGGCCTTTCTATTTCAACGTACCTCTCTATAACCTCACCCAGCTGAAATTTCAGTGATCGCATTGGTTTCATTTTTGGTTTGCTTGTGGGGCGCTAGCACCCGCATTCAGTGACCCAGAAAATTTGACACTGCTGTGAATAGTTTAGTCGCAAAGTGAAGATTCACGGGTAAGAAGCCCCAAACTTCTAGATAGGTTCTTTTTCAGCTTTCAGCAGCCCTGGGCGAGTTCTTTAGAGAAATGTGACTTTTTTTCATGGTGCTCTTGTCTATGTCCAGCTACACAACGAGATGAGGATGGTCATTGTCATTTTCTGAGCTGCGAACGGGCAGAAAGGTGAGAAAATGTCGGATTTTGACCATTTGTGCTGACCTTCCAATTTCAACGTACCTCTCTATAACATGACCCAGCTGTAATGTCAGCGGTCGCATTGGTTTCATTTTTGGTTTGCTTGTAGGGCGCTGGCAGCCACAATCAGTGACCCAGAAAATTTGGCACTGCTGTGAATAGTTTAGTCGCAAAGTGAAGATTCACGGGTAAAAAGCCCCAAACTTCTAGATAGGTTCTTTTTCAGCTTTCAGCAGCCCTGGGTGAGTTCTTTAGAGAAATGTGACTCTTTTTCATGGTGCTCTTGTCTATGTCCAGCTACACAACGAGATGAGGATGGTCATTGTCATTTTCTAAGCTGCGAACGGGCAGAAAGGAGAGAAAATGTCGGATTTTGACCATTTGTTCTGACCTTTCAATTTCAACGTACCTCTCTATAACCTGACCCAGCGGTAATTTCAGTGGTCGCATCGGTTTCATTTTTGGTTTGCTTGTAGGGCGCTGGCACCCGCATTCAGTGACCCAGAAAATTTGGCACTGCTGTGAATAGTTTAGTCGCAAAGTGAAGATTCACGGGTAAAAAGCCCCAAACTTCTATATAGGTTCTTTTTCAGCTTTCAGCAGCCCTGGGTGAGTTCTTTAGAGAAATGTGGCTTTTTTTCATGGAGCTATTTTCTATGTCCAGCTACACAATGAGATGAGGATGGTCATTGTCATTTTCTGAGCTGCGAACGGGCAGAAAGGTGAGAAAATGTCGGATTTTGACCATTTGTGCTGGCCTTTCAATTTCAACGTACCTCTCTATAACATGACCCAGCTGTATTTTCAGCGGTCGCATTGGTTTCATTTTTGGTTTGCTTGCGGGGCGCTAGCACCCGCATTCAGTGACCCAGAAAATTTGGCACTGCTGTGAATAGTTTAGTCGAAAAGTGAAGATTCACGGGTAAAAAGCCCCAAACTTCTAGAAAGGTTCTTTTTCAGCTTTCAGCAGCCCTGGGTGAGTTCTTTAGAGAAATGTGGCTCTTTTTCATGGTGCTATTTTCTATTTTCAGCTACACAACGAGATGAGGATGGTCATTGTCATTTTCTGAGCTGCGAACGGGCAGAAAGTTGAGAAAATGTCGGATTTTGACCATTTGTGCTGACCTTTCAATTTCAACGTACCTCTCTATAACATGACCCAGCTGTAATTTCAGTGGTCGCATTGGTTTCATTTTTGGTTTGCTTGTAGGGCGCTGGCACCCGCATTCAGTGACCCAGAAAATTTGGCACTGCTGTGAATAGTTTAGTCGCAAAGCGAAGATTCACGGGTAAAAAGCCCCAAACTTCTAGATAGGTTCTTTTCCCGCTTTCAGCAGCCCTGGGCGAGTTCTTTAGAGAAATGTGACTTTTTTTCATGGTGCTCTTGTCTATGTCCAGCTACACAACGAGATGAGGATGGTCATTGTCATTTTCTGAGCTGCGAACGGGCAGAAAGGGGAGAAAATGTCGGATTTTGACCATTTGTGCTGACCTTTCATTTTCAACGTACCTCTCTATAACATGACCCAGCTGTAATTTCAGTGGTCGCATTGGTTTCATTTTTGGTTTGCTTGTAGGGCGCTGGCACCCGCATTCCGTAACCGAGAAAATTTGGCACTGCTGTGAATAGTTTAGTCGCAAAGTGAAGATTCACGGGTAAAAAGACCCAAACTTCTAGATAGGTTCTTTTTCAGCTTTAAGCATCCCTGGACGAGTTCTTTAGAGAAATGTGACTCCTTTTCATGGTGCTCTTGTCTATGTCCAGCTACACAACGAGATGAGGATGGTCATTGTCATTTTCTAAGCTGCGAATGGGCAGAAAGGAGAGAAAATGTCGGATTTTGACCATTTGTGCTGACCTTTCAATTTCAACGTACCTCTCTATAACATGACCCAGCTGTAATTTCAGTGGTCGCATTGGTTTCATTTTTGGTTTGCTTGTAGGGCGCTGGCAGCCACAATCAGTGACCTAGAAAATTTGGCACTGCTGTGAATAGTTTAGTCGCAAAGTGAAGATTCACGGGTAAAAAGCCCCAAACTTCTATATAGGTTCTTTTTCAGCTTTCAGCAGCCCTGGGTGAGTTCTTTAGAGAAATGTGGCTCTTTTTCATGGAGCTATTTTCTATGTCCAGCTACACAATGAGATGAGGATGGTCATTGTCATTTTCTGAGCTGCGAACGGGCAAAAAGGTGAGAAAATGTCGGATTTTGACCATTTGTGCTGGCCTTTCAATTTCAACGTACCTCTCTATAACATGACCCAGCTGTATTTTCAGCGGTCGCATTGGTTTCATTTTTGGTTTGCTTGCGGGGCGCTAGCACCCGCATTCAGTGACCCAGAAAATTTGGCACTGCTGTGAATAGTTTTGTCGAAAAGTGAAGATTCACGGGTAAAAAGCCCCAAACTTCTAGAAAGGTTCTTTTTCAGCTTTCAGCAGCCCTGGGTGAGTTCTTTAGAGAAATGTGGCTCTTTTTCATGGTGCTATTTTCTATGTCCAGCTACACAACGAGATGAGGATGGTCATTGTCATTTTCTGAGCTGCGAACGGGCAGAAAGGTGAGAAAATGTCTGATTTTGACCATTTGTGCTGACCTTTCAATTTCAACGTACCTCTCTATAACATGACCCAGCTGTAATTTCAGTGGTCGCATTGGTTTCATTTTTGGTTTTCTTGTAGGACGCTAGCACCCGCATTCAGTGACCCAGAAAATTTGGCACTGCTGTGAATAGTTTAGTCGCAAAGTGAAGATTCACGGGTAATAAGGCCCAAACTTCT